GATGGCGCCGTTGCTGCTCTTCACGCTCTTCACCACCCTGATATCTTGAGTAGCCCGATGCCGGGCTTTGGCCAGTCTGAAGACGAACTTCTCTGCGTTTCTGCTTTCCAACTTCTCGTACAAGGCGTCCATCTCCGTGTTCGCCTTGGCTACGGCGGCCTTAGCGAGCCTCTTGCAACTCTGTAGCGAGGTCCTCGGGGCTCCGGGTCTTCTGCCAGCGCTTGTATGCCTCCTTCTTCTGCTTCACGACTCGCTGGACTTGAGGTCACTCTTCTCTGCACGGTGCAACTTCCACCACCGGATTCTCCTCTCGGTTCTTACCCTTGTCTTCTTGGGGAGGTCTATGGCTATGTCTGCCAGGAGGGGCCTGTGCTGGGAGCCAGTTCTTCGCCAGGGAGTACCTTGATATCCTTCACAGTTTCTGAGGGATGATCTTCTTACCAGCACATGGTCGATTTCCGTTTGTCTCCCTCCACTGCTGTAGGTTACCTTCTGAGTCTCCCTTTTCGCGAAGAACGTGCTGCAGATTGCCAGATCGTGGGCTGTAGCCAGGTCCAGGACCCTCTCTCCCTCGGCGTTCCTCACTCCTATTCCTCTACCTCCGTGCACCCTTTCCTCTTCTGTCACTGCCGACGTGACCATTCAGATCACCTGCTATGGTGAGGTAATCACCTTCCGGAATCGTTCTGATGGCATCGTCAAGGCTCAGATAGAACTCGTCCTTATCACTTTCGGGGCATCCGGCTTGCGGTGCGTACACGGAGAGTATGGTCCAGTACCCCTCCTTCGTGTCTATCCTCACAGCCATGATCCGATCGCTGATCCTGTTCACAGCGGAGACATAGTCCTTGAGCGACTCCGCTACCGCTATGGCCACACCGTTCCGCTTGGTGTCTTCTCCATTGTAGTAGAGTTTGACACCTTCCCCGATTTCCCTGGCCTTAGCACCTTTCCATCGCGTCTCCTGAAGGCATAGGACTTGGATATTCTTGCGCGTCATACTAATTTATTTGGCCGAGGCCGTTTCCTCCTCGGTAGCCCTCGCATACTGACCACAGAACTCGGGCGGGGGTTCTGCGCGCCACTTCCGGGTGACGTCCTAGCTTTATCACTGATTCTTTTCGACTTTTAGACATGTTTGGTGTGACTGGGGTGTTCATCAGCCGGCCTGTCAACCTGGGCCTGACGCTGGTACTAGAACCATTTTTGCAATTTTTGCAAGGCATGGTTAAGCCTCGGCAGGGATCGAACTCGCGGTTTTCAGAGGTGCAGACATGAGTCTAACCTCTTAACCACTCGGCTATCCCTGCCGCAGCTCGTGCAGCTCCACGTTGGCAAATCAGCTTGGGAGTTTCTAGAAACATCACCTCTTGGTGAACTTCCAACTCCCTGTCGCTATCGTGAAGGCTCAATGTTTTTGATAACGGAATCCTTCCACAAGTTTCCAAGAGAAGTGAAGTGTTCCCAAGTTGATGGGGTTTCGCTCGGCAGTCCCTGAACTTTGCTGCTCTCTCAACACGCATCGAAAAGTGGAATCTTGCGCGGAGGAGACGATGATGAAATCTCGTGTAGAACTTCGGAACAACAGCGACTTTAAGTTCTTTCGTTTCTGATAGAGCCAGTTATCGATGAATATGCAGCTGTTTTCCAATTCGTAATTTGGGAAGGGCAGTTTTTAGGGTAGTTTTGTGTGCGGTAGGCTATAAATTGCTTTGAGACCTCGGCGGAGTAAGCCTTTAAACTGTGCGTGTGAGACAAGCAGTACAAAGAGAGGTCTATTGAAAAAACTCACAAATCAACAGCTATAATCGACGTTTTGTAAGAAGAGTACTCGGAGTTGGATTGGGCTTGGCGAGCACGAGAAGTGATCAGAGGATGTGTGTCCACGGTGCGGATCAGAGCGCGACCTAATCCCATGGTTAAGCCATACAGCTTTCTTCCACTGAACCAATGAAGCTTTCAAACTCGTGCCACTAAGGCTCCGTGCATTAAGCTACTAAGGCAATCACCGCCAAGCCCTCTATACAGCCATTAAGGTCCTCTTCACCTAGCCACTAAGGCGACTTATACGAAGCTTACGCCCTCTATCACACGGGCCACTACAGCTGCCAGCAGAAGCTGCCTAAGCAGAATGTTGCAACCCTAGATCATTGGAATCCCGGAACATAGGAACGGGAACTGGAACTACTTCACTGGAACGCGGACCTTTTTACTGATACCTTCTCAGTAAAAAGATTCATATTCCAGTGAAGTAGTTCCAGTTCCAATTCCTAGGTTGTCACTCTCTGTAACTGAATATGAAGAGTTATTATTCTTCATATTTACCCTACAGAAAATACACTTCCTATCGCTTCTTTATGCGAATGAAGAGGCAAAAGGCATCGAGGTCGCTCTTTTACAAATGGACGTTGTGTCAAGGTTTCTTTTAATTGGTTCCGCAGCATGTCAATCATTTACTTCTAGCAAAGGTGCCGTCAAGATCTTGAATCACTATACAGTGCGTTGCAAAATCATAGGACACCCCCAAAAATATGAATATCTCGGCTTCTAGAAAAAGCCGTCTATCGCAACTGGTAGAATCAGAACCGCCTCTATAAAAAACCTATACAAACAAGTAGCCAGATCATCCGAATAGTTTTCCGTATTTTTAGACAATTTTTTTAGTTTTGTAGTCGTTGCAAAATCATAGGACACCCCTCGGAAGTCTCCTTACAGTTGAATTTTTTTATCCATCCAGCAACGATGGTAGCACTTGTCCGGTGTATGGTAATTCTATTAGAGTTACGGTTTGAGTTGCTCCCTTTCCCTCCGCGAGTGAAAGCCAGACTTTCTTTTTATACGCGCCTGATGGCTCTACCATGAGCATCGAAGCCATTTTTAGGAGCTCAAAGAAAACCATAGCTTGGTGCTCCAAATTCTCACTACGAATAGAAATAAGAGTGCACCAGGATAAATAGCAGAAGTTCTCTAAAAGGATTAGCTATAACCTCGAAGATTACATCAAACAAAATCACCATGTACGGTCAACCTGTGTCAGCTCTACGAAAGAAAGAGGATAGAAATGAAATCCTATAGCAAAATCACTGATATGGACAACTAGCGTAGGGTCCTGCGAAGCGTGCTGCCATGCTCGTTAGGCGTTCTGACTGAAACCAGAGAAGAGAAACTTCAGGTCTGGAACTCAGGATGAGGTTACGCATCACCACATCTTTAACGAAAATTTTGTTGAAGGAATAAGTCGAATCCTGGCCCATATTTCTTTACAAGTGAACAGCAGTCATCTGAACCATCAAAGTTAAACTGCTCATTACCGAAGAAGCGCGGTCTGAAAGGAACAAATTACTTATTATTTTGAATGAAAAATTGCTCAACAAAGCCCAGCTTCGGCCCAGTCTTTCGTTAGATTTCTCTTCTCTGGTTTCAGTCAGAACGCCTAACGAGCATGGCAGCACGCTTCGCAGGACCCTACGCTAGTTGTCCATATCAGTGATTTTGCTATAGGATTTCATTTCTATCCTCTTTCTTTCGTAGAGCTGACACAGGTTGACCGTACATGGTGATTTTGTTTGATGTAATCTTCGAGGTTATAGCTAATCCTTTAGAGAACTTCTGCTATTTATCCTGGTGCACTCTTATTTCTATTCGTAGTGAGAATTTGGAGCACCAAGCTATGGTTTTCTTTGAGCTCCTAAAAATGGCTTCGATGCTCATGGTAGAGCCATCAGGCGCGTATAAAAAGAAAGTCTGGCTTTCACTCGCGGAGGGAAAGGGAGCAACTCAAACCGTAACTCTAATAGAATTACCATACACCGGACAAGTGCTACCATCGTTGCTGGATGGATAAAAAATTCAACTGTAAGGAGACTTCCGAGGGGTGTCCTATGATTTTGCAACGACTACAAAACTAAAAAAATTGTCTAAAAATACGGAAAACTATTCGGATGATCTGGCTACTTGTTTGTATAGGTTTTTTATAGAGGCGGTTCTGATTCTACCAGTTGCGATAGACGGCTTTTTCTAGAAGCCGAGATATTCATATTTTTGGGGGGTGTCCTATGATTTTGCAACGCACTGTATATAAACGTTCGGTAGCGCGTTTAGATACTGTTTTATAGGCTGTGGCTCGATACTTCTTGATACCCGAGAATATTTTGGACAGCGTTAACGATCTCGATTCTCATAGGGGATAGATACAGATAGACCTAGATACAGTATCCGTGCTGGATGATATTGCATTGGGGCCTTCAGAAAAAAGCTTTTTCGCTACGCCGTACCTGGTATTAGCGACGAGCTTCAGAGCTTCATCCTCCGCGCCTCTATTTCTGGGGCCGAAGTCATCGTACGGATTTGTGCCGAGAAGGACGAGCTCAAACATTTTGTTGCCCATTCGTCGAAGCGGCTGACGGCTTGTTGATTGCGATAAGCCCCTCGAGGTCAGGTTTCTGGCCGTGTCCGAGGTGTTTTAGGTTTCTGGCAGTGTTTGGCGCTCGGCGAGGTGGCTTTCTGGTGATAGCCAGCTCGCTGCTGTTGGCCTCTCCCGAATGTGCTGTGGTGATAGCGCTTCGGCAAGGGAACAGCTGCGGTGTTTGCCGAGCGATCGGCAGCCTTTGGAATGGTGGCAGCTCTGGAAAGGAGAGGTGCTGTAACATCGTAGTGTTTCAAAAGCGCCTCATCGCCCTCTAAGCGAAGAATTTTCTTTCTTTGTATTTAGCTACTGAGAATCCACTTATTGTTGTTTCTTTATGCGACCAAAAAGACAAAACGCATCGGAGTCGTTCTTTCAGAGAAGATCAAGGTTTCTTTGAATTGGTCGCGTAGCATGTCTACACATTTCTTCCATTGTTGGTCATTTACTGGTCTATCGAGTCGATTAATTCCGCATCCTTCGCTACCAACTGCATCAGCGGAGTTCGTGTTGTGCCAGCAAACTCTGTTGGACTGAAAAGCAAGATGCAGCAAACTCCGATGAACCATTCGGCATCATTTCTTCGGGCTGCTTGTTAATTTTCTGTTTTTAAACGGTCCATCATTTTCTCGAATCCGGCTGGTGGAATGATGAGTTTTCCCTCAAAGCCAACAACTCCTAATACGAGTACGTTTAACAGTAAGGATGATTGAATCGTATTCTTTTGCGAATCCCGCAACGACTGTCATACTTGTTGGATCCATTCCGGACGAAGCGGATGTTCGGGAAGAACTTTTCCTGCCTGTGCAACTGATACTAGCGTTGCATGAATGCAGTGCTGATGTTAAAGAGACGCCAATCCAAATCTGGTAGGCGTGACCAAATTATAACAGCTGATGGGTACGTAGGATCGTGGGCATAGAGCAGAAGTTAAGGCTTTCCCCAGTCGCTTGATGTGGTGGTGCATTGCATGATGGATCATGGGTAGAATTCTATCTCATTACAACTGTTTCCTTTCTAAACATTCTAAGTACTGTTCCGTTGGCCCTTTCCGTTATACCGTCTTCTCAAGGGCAATAACCTTTTGCGAACTTCTACTCAATACTCGTAACTGAACAAAGTTGCCTCCATGATAGAACTTTCGAACTCGCTTTCGCGATCTCGCAACCACTGATCCTGTCAGTAAAAAAGACTTTAACTACCGCTCCAGGATATTTCGAAGAATAAGTCGATCGCGACAATTTCGAATGGTTTAGCTAAACCAGCGCTCGAAAAGAGGGATATTCCGTCTTTTGTTCTCTGTCAGAAAACGTACTTAATATTCCCTGACCAGATAAGCTACCCGTCCCCGACCAGATATTGATACATACCCGGCCAAAATGCTACCTTATTGAATTGGTAGTACATTTTTTGAAAATGACTTCTAGAGCACCATTGTACTTTTATGAAAATTCTTGTGTTGTTTGCCTTGTGGTGCTACGGGAGAGAACAAAGCATCTTCACTTATGAGTTCAGCTGGCCGCCATCGGACAAAATCAAGGGTACAAAATTCTCGGACGTATTTAGGAGGCCTACTTTCTCCTGCCCATTTCCTGCGGCGTCAATTATTTAACTGAAGCCCGGATCCACTCGTGTTCCCCGTAGACAGTTGTGCTCTTGCACAGCGCAAACTACTCTTTCATCTGCTCCTAGACGGATGAGTACTTCTCTCAAAGAGTTACTGGGACGCGTAATATGATGACTGCAACGCAAGCTGTCGCTGTTTTTACGTACCTAATGGTAAGATCATACCGATGTATTTCTACTGCCCGACGCAAAATGAGGGGAAGGTTAACTCGTTTCGAAAGCGAAAAAAATAGCGCAACATAGTCAGTGTGCACCACTGTTTGGATGACGAATATGGAGTAGTAGGACATCTTTATATTGTAAACTAGCACTAAACCTAAACCCTCCTGTTTTGTCACATGACAGCTGCGCTCCGAAGAGGACAAGGATTCGGAAGCAAAGATAGAAAAACTCGTCATCTCCTTCGTGAACTACTACCACTCCAACGCCGTATATAGGGTTATCCGTATATGGTGGGCGACTCTTGTCTAGCGCCTTTTCGATATTTGACTATCGCAGATCACGAGCATTCGATAAAACTTTCTTTAATTTGTCGAACACTTGGCTCTGTTGTCCTGAAAAGGAATCAAATGAACCTGTTTTCAGGGCTATTTAGCTTGTACAACGGCTTAGCTGTCAACGAACCTGAAGATAAATCTTCAATAATGCGACAGCACCCCAAAAATTGGAAGTAGAAGACGGTATAGAAACCGAGCACAAGAGGAACACCCAGTGTTTACAAACCAGCTTTATTTTCTTTACACAACAAAAAAAGAACGAGCAAACAATTCACAACAATGATGATGGTCATGGTTCACCGAACCTTACGAACTCAGTCAGAAAAAAACTTTCCGCGGCGACTGGGGAAAAACCCGAGAAGATTAGAGATGAGAAGAAGCAGGACGTGGATGGCACAGATGACCCCTCGGCAACAGAAGAGAAGAATGATCACATGAATCCTCCACACTGGGTTTTATATCTCGCTTTCCCTGCCGACGCCTCTTTTCGCGCCATTTATTGACAGCCTAAACAGTAGGTAAAATATGTCCACTCAACGCACGGCGCACGCAAAACGCGCGCACCCTCGCGTCAGATCAAAAAGAGTGCTCTAGAGATCCTCTGGCCACCGCAAAGCAGCCATTCTTAGGGATGGCCACAAGTGAGCGATGTTACATGTACTGGATAATTTCGGATGTTACCACTCTTATGAAAATTCGTTTTAGACCATCCTTGTCCATAACATGGCTTCGAGAGTCTTAGCTAGGTTTCAACAGCCGGAATTTTCGGGGTTTCACCTTGAAGTTTCCTTTCCACAGTGCTTCAAGTGTTCGTTCCACTTCCCGAATGGCGCTACTCACTTCAGTGGCAGTAATTATATCGTCCAAATAAAGTGTGACCTCCGGTCCCTCGAGCTTTTCAAGGATTCTGTTCATCAGCTGCTTAAAGCCGCTGGTGCATTTGTATGGCCAAATGGCCAAACGCTAAATTGAAAGAAGCCCTACGTTCTTGTGAAGGAGCTAATTTTCCTTACTTGCTCCGTAAGTAAGACTTGCCACTGACCGCTATGGTGGTAACGGGTAACAATACTCCTTTGTTACCTTAATAACCTCTCGGTAGTCAATACGCAATCGTGTACAACCACTCCTTTTAGCTACCAGGACAATGAGAGATGCTCAGGTGACCGTCCTCAATTATTTTGCGGTCTAAAAGCATGTTATCCACTTGCTCCCGAACGCTATAGGGTACGGCCTTATTCTCTGACGAAGTTGAGGGTAACCCTGTGCGGCAATGTCATGCTCTGCCAAGCTGATGTGTTCAAAGTGAGAATCAGTAATTGCGAAAGTTTTATAAAATTTCTTGAGAATGCTGGTGATCTTGGCATCTCGGAGACAGTCTTGCTGCAACATATTCATCAGAACATTCAACCTAGATTTTGGTAGAACTTCATAATTTTGCATTTCGCATGCCTCCTGAAATGTCTATGGATTTTTAAGAAGGGATGGAACAATCACCCAACCATTATCCGACAGATTCATCCTAAGCACTTGGGATTTCGTTACCAAGTTTCAGTAATTCCTTGTCTCGCAAGGGAGGCCGTTCAGGACGGAGCACTTTTTCCGAACGGTTTAGTGCATTTTATAGAGGTGGGTGAGAGGTACACAGAGGTGACCTCTACTTTTCTTGAATGGCCATAAAAGGAGTGATGAAGTGTCCAAAGTTCGATCCATCACGGGAACAAATTTTTGCATTTTGTGTTGGCGTCTCAAAATTTGCGAAAAATGGCGTCAGCGTGAACAAGGAGTGTCATATCTATAATAGGACCATCAGCAACCTTCATACGTAGACTTTGACTAAAAAACTGGTGGAAGAAAGTTGCGACACCAAAACGGCGCCGATGTAGCGCCCAATGGCGTCATAGCGAATTCAAATGACGTTTACGCCAAAAACTAATAACATATTCGTAATCAGGACGCCTGAATAACCCCTATATATAAAGTTTCAGAGGAACTTAAGATTTCGACCCAACTTCGAACAGTTGGAGCATGGGGAGATCGTAGTTCAACAGGGCAAAGGTACATGGTCTGGAGACGATCGCCCCTAATAATGAGAATAGAGCTCTATAAAGTGCTTTCCGTGTTGAACACGGCCCAATTGTCCCCGTCAAGCTCGTCTCCAACCCATGCGGGGACACATAACGGGTTGTACCCATGGGTGGTCCCCTTCTTTGAAGTCACGTCAAAATCTCATTTTGCCTTGTTTTCCTCGACACTTTAGGTATAGGGGTAAAGCGGTGTGATCACGGATATCGCATTCTAATCTGGTACTAGTACCATTTGGCGCCATTTTCGAGCCACAATATTTTTCTTCCTGTTGTTGAAAAAGCAATCTTATGGGGTTATTTATGATGCAGATCATGAATGTGACGCTCATTATGGAGATATTGCTATTTAGAAATCACCACGGAGGGCCGGTCAGCATGTCAGCAGGCTTTTGATGCTCTTCGGTGGGCGAAATACTAGCTTTACGGGAAGGTTCGGTTTCATCATCATCATCATCGTTTGACATCATCGAGACTTTATGAAGAAAAATGCGGTCGGAATCACTGCTCGTATTGCACGGAAACAAAGATCTGCCAGTTACGAGGGACCGTTTATTTGGTCACATGTGAAGCGTGTGGTCAGAAGTATGTGGGAGAAACGATGAGACCATTGTACAGAAGGATTGATGAACATATGCGAGCGTTGCGAAACCCTTCGTCTTACCCAAACAACGGTTTTCGCGACATCGCACGATTTACCATGGACAAGAACCGCCTCCTTCAATAAAAGGTCACTGTGCTACACCGCTCAAAAGAAGTCTCCTTGGAAAGAAAATTGTTAGAGGCACTCGCTATCAACTGTCTCCAGAAATAAACATCAGAGAGGAGGCCATGGAGGCTATGAGACTTCTGAGTTAACGGTGGATAAAAGCCAGTACTGTGAAATAGTCACGTACTGCTCATTCCCAGTGATTTTTATTTTATTAGCAACTGCACTAGAGTGAGGTGATCATCGTTTCGTTGTTGTCCTGGTTTGTACAATAGTCTGATGTGGTCTTGAATTGTGCTTTGCAGAGTATCCCATTAGCGAGAGCATCGGCCTGGTCAGTTAATGTTTATTATGTTGATGTCTCCTAGGTTTGAAGTATTGTAATATGCTTGATGTTCTTGTAGGTCTGAAGAAGCTGTTATCACAGCGAAAGCTAACCAATAAATCTTACATCAAGAGTCCTCAAGAGGATTTCAAAAAACGAAGATATACAATTTATGAGGCTCAGGGATAGCTCCATAATATCTTAGTCAATATGGTAAACTGCGACAGTTCTTCACCCTGCTCATCCGTTCCATTCCGTGAGTACCGATGGGAAGTTATTCAGCCGTTCAGCCAATTTTAGCATTAAGGTCGCCTCGAAGAAAAATAACCTATAGCCTCTAAGATAGTAGGTTTTCGCTATAGGACTTCTCCGCTTCTCCAGACAAGGCAAGAGTTGGATCACAATTGTGATCGTCCGATTCGAGTCTTAGGTTTTCGTGCGAATCGCGGCCAT